TTTTTTTTGTGGTAATGGGGTTTGAACTCAGGTCCTATTCCTTGAGCCACTCCACCAGCCCTTTTTTGTAAAGGTTTTTTTTCAAGATAAGGTCTCTTGAATTATTTTCCCAGGCTGGCTTTAAACCTCGATCCTCCTGATCTCTGCCTCCTGAGTAGCTAGGATTACAGGCATGGGCCACCAGAGCCTTTTTGAACTCAGGGCCTCATGCTTGCCTGGCAGGTGCTCTACCACTTGAGTCACTCTGCCAGGCTGTTTTTACCTTCCTGACCTACATTTTTTTAAGTATGTATTGATTGTCCAAGGGGGCTTCACCTTGGTATTTCATACAAGTATGATTCATACTTCAATCAGATTAACCCTCTCTATTGCTTACTCTTCCCTGATTGCCCTGCTCCCCTATTATTCAACAACTTACAGTGCATTTCATTATACTGTCTTCATACACAGATACATTTCCACAGAAATCTTAATCATGTTCTTTGATTTTGTTCCTTTTATAGAAAAGGTGAACTACACATCTACTTCTACAAATCTATATTTTCATAAAGTTGGACACATATTTAGGAAGAAACTTAAACTCGGTGAAATATAAAAATAATTAAAATGGTATACGAAATAAACATAGTAAGGCTAAGTAGATACTTCTTCACTTTGGATATGTGAAATTTAATACAACAGTTTCAAAGTTGGTAGAAATGAACTAAGGAAAATTAGAACTTTATACATAAATAGGCATTTTAAAGCTTTCCTCAAGAGAAAGCTTCAGCAAACATATACCCTACCAATTTCAACTCATAAATTTAATAGGAAGTTAGGCTATGTTCCCTAGGTCATCAGTTCCCTTATAAAAGAGTGATGGAGTATTTCCATAGGAGTGAAGCAGAAATGTGGAACTGTGGGTAATATGTTGAATAGTTACTAAGTTAAAGAAATCCCTGATGAATATGACAATATAAACAACTGTATAAAAATTATTAGATAACAATTATTTAAGTACTTTACAACTTAGAGACAAAGTCCCTAATCAATGCAGTATCATGACAAAGCCCTAATTAGCAACCTTACTGAAGAAATAAAATAGGGTAATATAATAGAGTAAAGCCTTCTAAGCTATAATTATGGTTTTGCCTGTTTTCTGATCTGTAAAATGAAGATATTGAAAGTAACTATTTCACAGGATTATTTTGAAAATTAAATAAATTAATACTTGAAAGTACTGAGTAAGTCTAGTATCTTATCTAGCCCTCAATTAAGATTAAGGGACTCTTATTGACAACCACTTCTTAGTTGCATGGGTATGCCACAGTAAGACAAAGAAAAAGAAGACATCTTTCTTTACCTTATTACTATGGTGGACTTACTTTTCTGGCAATTGGTAAAATTTATCACTATATTTTTTAAAAAATAAAATGCATGAGATTTAATGATATGGTCCATTTCTCTAAAGAAATATCAGTCCTAAAATTACAGAAAAATTAACATTAATTAATTAATTAGAACAATTAATATTCCATAAAAATTTTCATCTTAATTTAGTTCAGTATTTCTAATATTACAAATCCTAAATACCATTAACAGAATATCAAAATACAGCTTTCAAGTAATGTAAAGTCTATGCAAATTTCCCATCTTGCATAGAATATCCTTAAGCTAATTAACATCTTTGAAGTAGCCATAAACTGCATAATTACTGAAATTTTCATATCAAACTAAATCTTCACTCAGTATCAATAATAAAATAAGTAACTATAAATATCCACTTACTGCAATCTCTCTACAAGCCGACATGGATATCCCTGTGCCTTCAATTTGCTTCAGTGCATATTCCTTTTCATCTTTTCTGCACATGAACAAAAAAAAAAAATGTTTACTTTCCCATATATTGCATTCAGATTCAAAATTATAACTACAAAAACAATGGGAGTGCACTTATCCTCTCAGTGATATGAAAACATTCTCATAAAGATTATTATTTTTGATAATATTTAAACCACAGAAATATGAAATACCAAAAGAAGTTTGTGTCACAATAGAAACACCGGACAGCCAAAACACAAAATTCAAAATTTAACAGAATTGGATACTAAACACAGCATTGGTTTCAAAGAGTAAACAAGCATAAATATAAACTCAAACATACTGCAAGATAATTCCATTCCTATCGTAATTATATGAATCTATGAAAGCATTATAACAAATATTCACTACAAAAATAACTGACAAACATAAACTCCCAGATTCACTTAATTTCATACTATCAGAAGCACTCATAGGAGGGAGACCCACTGGAACACACAGGTTTTCACCTGGGATATAGAATATCCATAAGCTCCCAGACCCAGCCAAAAGCCTTCAAGAATTCAGAACATAACCACCAACATAACATTCTCAGGAAACTCTTTGGACAATCCCAGTACTTACAGTGGGTTTTTGCAAACAGTGGAGACAAGATTAGGAACCTAGAAAATCCCAAATTACCAGGGTGTGTAACCAAGAGAAGACAGTGTGTCAGAATGGTAACACATCAAGGAAAAATAGCATTAGGTGAGTGGCTAGTGCAACACAGTAAATATCCTCAAGGCACTGACTCGAGAACCAGCAGCAGGAAGGCACCAGCTAAATGCCTTAATTATGGATCACATCATGAGTTGTTCTGATAACAGAAGCATAATCCGTGCCTTGGAGATTTTGTCCTTTGACTGTAATAGGGTCTTGCAAAGTATACATGTCATGATGGTTTTGTTAAATGACAGTGCCTAGTAGTGCTGCATTTGTCCTACTTAGCTATTCTTCATTTTTCCCATTCTGTGTTTACTAGCAGATAAAGCAGTTTAAGAGGTTATTTAGTGTCTTTTTAAAACATCATTTTATGTGCCTTTTGAAGATTTTTCACAATCATCTATGGCTTTGGTAAGTAACTGAGTTATGGTTACTTTTCTTCCATTTGATAATCATATCCAATTTTTTCTATTACACAGCATTCAGAAAATAATTAAACAGCATTTTGATAAATGGAATATATACCAAATATGTCACAGGATGAACAAAAGGATGTCAAAGAATTATAGAACACAATAATTAAAATCATGGCTCTGAAGTCACTAGAAACACGGAAATATTTACCATATACTACCAAGAAAATACACAAATTACACTTTATAACATATATATGCATCTATACATATGCTGAAGATAACACAAAAAGTTAAAAACATTTGCATTAACATGAAGGAAGTTATGTTAACTAACTTCAGTGATAATAATAATATTGCTTTTTAAATTAGAACAGGGATCCAAAATAATTTGATACTCAGGAAATAATCACCCATTGAAGTAATCTTTAGTATTTTCAAAGCAATAGCTTAGACATGTTTTCAAAAGCAAAGTTAAAACTTAGGGACAGGTTAGTTAGCCATGGTAGTACACTCTTGTAATCCTGGTAATCAGGGGGCTGAGACAGGAAGATCAAGAGTTTGAGACAGCCTATTTTACATAATGAGTTTGAGCCAGCCTGAACTACACAGAAAGACTGTCTCAAAATAAAAAAGGGAAAGCTTAAATGATCTTTTTCCTTTTTCTCCATCCTGTTTCGTGCTTTTTCAGATTACTAAGAAGCCACTAAAAAGCACAAGCAGCAGGTATATGAAGGTAATTAAAGTTAGTGTCCCTCTCTAACTTAAATGTACATACAGGTATATGTGGAAGCATCTATGTGCCTGAGATGCTCTGACACAATGCTTACAGTGTACATATTATACATTTAACAATTAGATTAACTATCAGCTATCTATTACTAAATATTTAAGTTTAATAAATTCTTGAAACAAAATTATAAAAACTTTTTGACAAATTTTTGTGCACAATCATAATTCATTTTCAACAGAAATATTTCAATTCCCAGTTCCCCTAAATGAAGTGCTTCAGAAGCTCATGTAATTGCAGTTTTATTTTTAATACTGTAAAGAATATTATACAATCTGGATAGGTTATCGTTGTCATGGAAACTATAAAATTTTTTTTGCAGTTAAGTCAAAAAGTGCAAAATTAACACATCACATTAATGGCTTTTGAATTTCACATCCAGGCTGTCAAAGGAATTTGAAGCTTTAGCAGAACAGACTGAGGCATAGGCCTCTTACTCTGAATTATAAGGATAGGAACAGGAACAAACCTAGTAATTATTTCACTTAATAAGTTTAAATATAACTTCTATCTATTTAATAAAATATATAAAAATCTGCAATTTTAAGATCTGCAGCTTTCAAACTGAGAATGAAAGAAAGTACATGCATCATTTCCATGTTTCCTTTGCACACTGTCAGAAGGTAGTAGTGATGAGGAACCTCTGAGTTCACCAGGTGGAGAAGAGGCAAGACTTCACAGAGCATATGAGACTCCCTGGCACTGTAACATGCCAGCGCAAATCTCTGGGCAGATGCCAGTACTTGAGCATGAAGACTGAAGTATCCTTTACAACTTCCAGAAATACTTCAGTGACTAGGCACATGGGACAGGGAAGCTTCTCTGCTCTCATCACACATGTGAGTTCCTCTCCAGGAGTTCCTCCAAGTGACTGTGGTAATTAGTTTCCAACAGCTTGCATATTTCCAGTATGTGTGACCTATCATAAAAAGTATACTTTTTTCTTTCATGTGACAATGTTGAAAAGCTGGTAAACCGACCCTGTCTTGCTATGATAGCCTGGCTTTTTGTTTTGTTTTATGGTACATAGTTTGAACTCAGGGCCTCATACGTGCAAGGCAAGTGTTCTACCACTTGAGCCATTCTGCCAGCCTAAAATGGCCTGGCTTTTAAAGGCAACTTAGTGTTCCTTAAAACTACTTTATTTCTAAATAACATGACAGACAAAGCTATTACAGTTTCAGGGAAACTTCTTTCTGCATTTTAATGTGTATTAGATAATATGGCTAGAGAAATTACAGCTTTAAAATAGCCACCTTTTTGGGGGAGGGGTGGGACTGAGGTTTGAACTCAGGACTTCTCGCTTGCAAAGCAGGCACTTTCCACTTGAGCCACACCTCCAGTCCCACCTTAAAAATAATCAAAGGAATTTACTAAATAAATTCAGAGGATTGAAAATACATATATTTTAGCCAAGCATGGTAGTACACACCTGTAATCCCAGTGTTCAAGAGGCTGAGGCAAGAGAGGCAAGAGTATTGCAAATTCCAGGCCAGCCTAGACTACATAGTGAGACCTTGTCTCAAAAAAATTTCTGTAGTAAAAACATGTATACATATACATTTTTATATTTTTAAATATAAAAAATGGGCCAGGTGCCAATGGGTCACACCTGTAATCTTAGCTACTCAGGAGGCAGAGATGAGGAGGATATCAATTTGAAGCCAGCTCGGACAAACAGTCCATGAGACCCTATCTCGAAAAAACCCATCACCAAAAAAAAGGGCTGGTGAAGTGGCTCAAGGTGTAGGCCCTGAGTTCAAGCCCCAGTACAACAACAATTTATATGCATGTCTCCTATATGTCTATAATATGCATCAACACCATGAAAACTTCACTATCAGCAGTCACAATGGAAAACAATTGCTCAATGGGAACATTATATAATAAGAAAAATAAATTATGCAAAGACAATGATTCTATTTTCTATCTGAGATATTATGTTCTGGAAAAACAAAAAATTTTTGAGACAAGGACTTACTCTATAGCTTGGGCTGGCCTTAAACTGGCCAAGTAGCCCCAGGCTGGCCTTGAATTCATATCCTCCTGCCTTGCCCTCCTGAGTGCTAGAATCACAGGCATACACCTCCATACCCAACATATAAAATTCTTGATGCAAGTAATTCTACAGATAGTAGGAAAAAATAAAAGGCACATATTGTGCAAGAAACAGAAAATATTACCTTAAAATGAAAGCTTAGTCCTAGGCAGAAAATTAGGCTCAGTGGTAAAATTTAAATGTAGTTCACAGAAGAATTTCTCAAGTATAAAGAAGCAAATCCAGTAGAAACATCTGAATGAAATACTGGGAACCAATTTAATATTTTAAAAAGTTTTACATTTTTCAATAATGTCTACACTTAGTGAACAGTCCCCTAATCCCTAGCAAACTGTAACAAGGTACAGCATCACTCATATCAACCTACATACACAAAGCATAGTTAGGGTTCAGCCAAAACACCATTCATTATAGTCATAATTAGTCTGACCCAAAGATCTCTGGTTCCTCTCAATGCTATTACCAGGTGTCCAGGCCAGCCCTGGGTCATCTTTGGTCCCAAGGACCTATAGTGTTTCAGTTTGAAAGTTTAAGCCTGTAAAGGTAATGATACTGTGTTGGGAGAAGCAGCACAGAGGAGATGACTTCTGAATGCCCAGGAAAGAACATGACACAAGAAAAAAGACAAAAAAGGAATAGAGAGAAGAGACGTAAGACAGACCATTTCTGAAGGTATTTGTCTCTCATCTCCTTTTAGGAGGGAAGGAACAGAATAAAAACTTGAAATAACAAAAACCAAAATTTAGTTTTGCATCGGCATCAATCTGAATTATTCAATTTCATAAGTCTAATATTCACCCAGAATGATTCCTTATTTGAAAATGCTATTACTTATTATACAATACCATTTTTTTTTTTTCGGTGCTAGGGATCAAATCTAGAGCTTTACTCTTGCCATGCAAGTGCTCTACCACTAACCTACATCCCCAGCCCTTGGGTTTTAGAAACAGGGTCTCACAATGTAGCTCAGGCTGGCTTTAAATCTCTGAGCACTAAGATTACAGACGTGGACCATCCTACTTGGCTTAAATTTTTTATCATGAATTTTTTTTAAATAAATAGATGACAATGATACTGTATGTATCCACACAATTATCAACACATGGCCAATTTTATTACTACTGCCTCTATTTTTCTTAATTACTTTGAAACAAATCCTAGACATTCTACTGTTTCATTTGTAAACAGTTCAATGCCATAACACTTCTCAATATCAGGAACTTTTTCTTAGTTGAATAACAACCCATGTGGGAGGCAGAAGTAGGAAGATCTCAGTCCAAGGCAGCCCTGGGCAAAAGCATAAGACTCTATCTGAAAAATAACTTAAGCAAAAAGACTGTGGGAGTGGCTCAAATGTTAGAACACTTACCTAGCAAGTGTGAGGCCCTGAGTTCAAACACCAGTACCTTAAAACACACACACACACACACACACAACCATGCGTCAAAATCTTGACTACATTTGTGGTTCAAATAAAAATTAGCTTTAAAAGTTTATGTGTAGGTCATCTAAGAAAATTTAAACATAGACTAGATATTACATAATATTATGCTATTATGATTAACATTTTTAATTTTTATTTTATTAACCATCTTAAATGTAGGATAATAATATTATGGTTATACAGAAGTATGTCTTTATTTTTAGGAGATGCAGGTTCCAGTATTTGGGGATGGTGCTATGACACCTGAAACTTAATTTCAAATGTGACAACAAAAGACATTCATCTAGACTGGCAGAGTGGCTCAAGTGGTAGAGTGGCTGCCTAGCAAGTGTGAGGTCCTGAGTTCAAACACCAGTACTACAAAAAACATTCATCTATATTCAGAAAGAAGTATAAAACAAATGCAGAAAGACAATAATAGTTGAATCTAGACAGAGGGTATATGGTTGTTCACTATCTAACACTGAACTTCTCCACTTTGACAAAACTTCTCTTAAAAACAATTGAGAAGTAACTAATAAGCAACAGGTAAAGAAAAAAACAGTAAGATACTGGCATACAGAAGCCAACAAAAAGTACTAAAGGACAGGTGGGCAAAAGTATCAAATGTAGAATATGGAAAAAAGTTCATCAGATTTGACACTGAGGACATTTTACAAGAATATCACTAGTAGGGCAAGAACTTTGCTCAAAACTCTATAAAACATATTACCACACTCTATTAAAATTACTTGGAATTTGACTCGTGCTCCTTGCTTTGTCCCCAAATGAGATAGGGGACTATCTTACTCATTTCTGTATTCTTTAAGAGCTAACAAAGTATCGTAAATATCATAAATATTGCATTGAAATAAACATAATGATCTTGATCAACCTAAAAAATATTTCCACAATAACAAGAAAATCTGGAGAAGTTCCTTTTAAAAATATATACTACAACAGGGTGTGATGCCATTTACCTATAGTCCCGACTACTTGGGAGGCTGAAGCAGGAGGATCACCTGTAATCACAAGTTCAAGACCAGGCTGGGCAATTAAGATGGTGGCAGAGCAAATCAAAAGAGTGGATGGCTCTGAAAGACAATTGGGAAACAATGCCAACAAAACATATAGTGAAGAAACAAGAGAAAGAAAAGCAAGAACGACTGCCAGTTTCCACCTTGGACAATGGATGACAGTAACACCATTGACTCAGTTTTAAAGAAATTGAAGTTGAACTGCTTATGATAATGTCTACACAGAAATGTCCAAGGGGCATCTGGACAAACCTATACTTTTGAGGGAGATGTGGGCTAGAAATAGAGATGTGAAATTAAAGTCATGAAAATAGGAGGGAGGACAGAACTCTGAAGACCATCACTTAAGAAAAATGATCCCACAGTATCTAAAATGTATACATTATTTGGCACTTAAGACTGCTAAGTGGTTTCTAGTTATTTTACATTATCTGTGTCTTCCCAATTAAGCACTAAAAGCAATGGTGCCTCCTACAAGCCTCTGTAACTCCATAGCTTTTAGCATATTGATGGTTATTTTCTGACTACTTAGCCAAATTAGATAAATAAAAGGAATGAACAAAATCTATTTGATTTTAGGAAAATCCTTTACTTAGCATTCCTCTGGTCTTCCACTTTTCCTCTGATTTTTGCCAGAGGAAACTAACACTTCAGACAAAGATGACCTTGAGGGATTAACTTGGGAGTTATACAAGAGTTCTGCGATCACTCTCTCATACTCAGTGTTTAAGAGAAAAAAAGGCAGGCATTGGTGGCTCACAACTGTAATCCTAGCTGATTTGAAGACTAAGATTGGGAAGATCACAGTTTGAGGCCAGCTTGGGCAAATAGTTCACAAGACCCCATCTCCAAAATAACCAGAGCAAAATGGACTGGGCGTGTGACTCAAAAGGTAGAATACCTGCTTTGCAAACATGAAGCCCTGAGTTCAAACCCCAGTCTCACCAAAAGAGAAAGAGGGAAAGAGAGAAAGAGAGAGAGAGAGAGACAGAGAGAAATGAAGGAGAGGGGCCTTTGTTTAAAATACAAGATAACTTTAGTATTATTCCATTTTACTCTGAAAGTAGAAATCTTTAAACTGTCACTCACAAAATGCTCAGTCTTGGGCCCTCAGTCTTCCTCATACTGACTAATTTCCCTGATCTATCTACTCCTTAATTCTTCTTATCCATCAGATAAGCTCAAGCTTTACAGATATTTTGTGAACACCCTAGGCTAAGGTCAAAGCTCTCTTTGTTGCATTCACCAAGTGCATGTCTATACTATACTCACAACGTTCATCAGATGCCACTTTCTACATTAACTTTTGCACAGTGTGCAATATAAAGAGCCTGTCTGACTAATGAGTTACCTATACCGTCATATTATTGTAACAGGAACTACAAAAGGGAAAAACTTGAAGTGCAGTCAGCTTGCATGCCGGCCAGTTTACTGTGCTTTTTAATCAAACTGACATTTTTTTCCCTTTTGTCTACATGCCCATAGTTAACTCCCTCTAATCTTCAATTACCCTTTCTCTCTCTCTGACCACCAGAGAAGTAAACCTATCAGTCAAGACAGCTCCAAAGAAGTGGCGCCAGGGCACCTGGAGAACCAAGGCCAGCACCTATTCTGGGACATGCATTCCATCACATACTCAAACTGAGCTCCTGAACTCCCCTTTAAAAACCAGACATTTTTTTCTAAGAAGTGGAACCACAGAGTTTCATCTGATGAATAATTAGCATTATTTCTTTTTCCTCAAAACCCTGCTCTCATTATTTGTGAACTGGCATTGAACCAGGAGACTAGTTTTCTGGTAACATCATCAGTTTTTACATTTGTAAGTTGGGAATCATAGGCTGGAGGCATGGCTGAAATAGTAGAGCACTTGCCTGGCAAGGGAAAGGCCCTGAGCTCAAACTCCAGATCTGAAACAAAAGAAAAAAAAGGGAACAATAATACTTAAATTGCATAACTGAAGATGAATGACACCACATATGTAAAGTCTAGCAGTGTTCAGCGTCTACTTACAGGCTCAAAAAATGTCAGTTCCTAACTGAAAACTGCAAACATTTTTTAGAGACTATGGAAGAAGACCACAAATGGACATTTCATGCTTTAGGAATGCTTAGGACAGGATACACATCTGAGTTTTTCCCAAATACTATCAGGAAAAATGAAACACACATTTGACATTAACATTTCTTTATGGATAATAAGTTTCTAGAGAGTTGATATCATTGTTAAATGTGTCTTTGCAGTCAACATAATACCTTGCAGCTAATAACCAGGTCTTTGATAGATGACTAATTTAGATAAACAACATTATTGGCTATCTAACTTTTCTAGTGAGATGGAGGTTTACAATAAGAGTTCAGAACTAAGTTTTTCATTCAACAAAGTTATGTGTGCTGCAGCGCATAAGGGGCACTACAAAGATTGCAATAATATATTGAAGTAAAGTCTTTGCCCTACAGAAGTTCACAAGAGAGAAGATGAGCTAAGTACATATTTAGTGTACACCACTAAATATGAAGTAATTGCCTAAATCCCATCATTTAAAATACTTCTCTGAAAATCCACTTAATTCCATCTTCTTATAGAAGTTGAAAGGAAGGAATAGAGGGGAGAGGGAAGGAGTCCTTCAATAATCTGATGAACAGCACTACTGAATAGTATAATCCACTGAAACTCATACTTCATGAAGAGAAACTGAATGGTTTCCTGCTAAAATCAGGAAGATTAGGATGCTTGCTCTCATGACTCATAATCAACATCATACTGGAAATCCAAGCTATTACAAGATAAGAAAAGGATATAAAACATAAACAGATTGGGTAGAAAAAACAAAACTTTGCACATAACATGACTGTCTGTGGAAAAATAATCCCAAAGAGTCAACAAAGAGACTCCTAGAACTAATAAGCAATTGTAGCAAGGTTGTAAGATGCACGGTAAACATAAAAGGTCAATTGGAGGGGATGAATTCAATTATGATGTACTGTAAGAACTTGTGTAAATGTCACATGTGCCCTAAGTACAACAATAAAAAAATTTAATTTTTAAAAAATGGAATTGGGAATTTAAAACACAATATTATTTTACAGTAGCACCAAAAAAAGAACTTAGCTATAAACTAACAAAATGTAAGATATATATGCGGAAAACTACAAAACTCCAATGAAAAAAATCAAAAAAGATCAAAATGAAGATATTCATGTACAGGACTAAGAAGAGTCAATATTGAGAAGATGCCAACTCTTTGTAAACAGATTTATAGAGTCAACAAAATCCCAGCCAGTTATGTTGTAGACACTGACAAACTGAGTTGATCTGAAACACCAAAACACCAAGAAAGTCAACGCAGTAACTGAAGAACAAAATTGGAAGACTGATATTATCCTTGTTAAAAACTAACAATATGGTGCCAAGTACAGTGGCATACACCTGTAATTACAGCACTTGGGAACCTGAGGCAGGAGGAAGGTGAGTTCCAGGCAAGCCAGGGCTACATAAAGAGACTGTCTTTAATTTAAAAAAAAAAAAAAACACTTTATAATCCAGGTATACTGTACAGCAGCTCATACTTGTAATCCTAGCTACTCAGAAGGCAGAGATTAGGAGGATTGTCGTTTCTTCAAGGCCAGCCCAGGGAGAGTTATCAAGGCTTCATCTCAATCAATAAACTGGGCATGGGTGTGGGTCCCAGTTACGAGGGAGGTCTTAGATAGGATGACAGAATTCTGAAGCTGGCCCAAAACCCTATCTGAAAAATAACCTAAAAGCAAAAAGGGTCAGAGTAGTGGTCAAGCCCAGGTCCTGAGTTCAAAACCCCAGTACCACCAAACAAAAAAAAATGCAAAACTATAAAACTCCTAGAATATAGCATAATTAAAAAGAAATCTCAATCACTTTGGGCTTAGCAATTGGTGACTTTCAGATTCAATAACAATTTGGGAAGACTTGACTAAAACTAAAAACTTCTGCTATGTGAAAAACATTTAAGAATTTAAAGACAAGCCACAGATTGGCAGAAAATATTTGCAAAACAAATATCTGACAAAGGAATGGCATCCAAAATATACAAAAAACTCTCAAGGCTTAATAACAGGCAACCGAATAAAAAATTGAGCTAAAGATTTGAATGCCTCAACAAAGAAGATATGCAAATAGAAATTGAGCATATGAGCCGGGGGCCGGTGGCTCATGCCTGTAATCCTAGCTACTCAGGAGGCAGAGATCAGGAGGATCGCAGTTCAAAGCCAGTCTAGACAGTTTTCAGCAAGACAATCTCGAAAACTACTCAGCACCTAAAAAGGCTGGCAAAGTGACTCAAGTGGTAAGGTGCACGCCTAGCAAGCATGAGGCTCTGAGAGGAAAGGAAGGGGGATGAAATAGAAAGGAAAGGAGAGGGAGAAAGGGAGAGAGGGCAGGAGGGAGGGAGGGAGAGGGGGGGGGAGGAAGGAAATTGAGCATATGAAAAGAAGCTCAACATCATATCATTACAAGATTTCAAATTGAACAATAGTGAGAGGTTATTGCTCAGTGGTAGCATGTACTTACATGGTGTAGATTTAAGGTAGTATTTAGCATACATGAGGCCCTGGGTTGATCCCCAGCACTACAAAAAGAAGGTGGCGGGGAGCAGATCACTATACAATTATTAGAATGGCTAAAATCCAAAACACCAAATTCTGACAAGGATGTGGAGCAACAGGTGTGCTTATTCACTGCTAATGAGAATACAATTACTTTGTGTAGGTTTTTTTGTTATTTTGTTGTTTTGTTTTGAGACAAGGTCTTGCTATGTAGCCAAGGGTAGCCTCTAACTTGTGATCCTCCTGCCTTAGCCTCCCAAATGCTGGCATTACAGGCATGTACCACCATGTCCAGAAAGGGAATACAGTCATTTGGGAAGACATTTTGACAATTTGGCAGCTTCTTATAAAACTCAACATACTCTTGGCATATAATCCAACAACTGTACTCCTTGGTATTAACTCAAATGATGTGAAAATACATCCACAAGAAAACCTGCCACAAATCTTCATAGTAGCTTTATTCATAAATGCCAAAAATTGGAAGTAAACAACATACCCTTCAGTAGGTGAATGAATAGAGCTGGGATGTCCAGACAATGGAATATTATTTAGCTCTAAAAAGAAATGTGCTATTAAAGCCATGAAAAGACACGGAGAAACTTAAATTCATAGTACAGAGAGAACCCAATCTGAAAAGGCTACATACTATACAATTCTTATTCTATGGTCTTCTGGAAAAGGCAAAGATATGGAGACAAGGAACCAGGAATGAACAGGAAGTAGAGCACAAGAGATGTTTAGTGCAGTTAACTATTTCTTATGATGTGATAATGGTGAACCCATGCCATTAAACATTGTCAAAATCCCTTGGACATACAACAAAGAGTAAATTCTAATGTACATTATGGACATTAGTTAATGTTGTAACAATGGTGGCTCTTCATCAGTTGTAACAAACATGTCATATTAAAGCAAGATGTTAAAAATATGGAA